TTTCCCTCCCCATAAGACATAAGTTTTTTGATGGAGAGTTTGACTGGAGATGAAATATGGATTTTAAGAGCTGGATTTTTAGTCTCTTCTTATCCAGAATTCCATGTTACTCTTGAGTTCTGTGATATAACATTACTTGTCAAGACATTCAAATTCAAATCTAACCATTCACAAATTTGAGCCACAAGGCTGCTGTCTTTAAAAGTGCTATCAAGTCACAAATTTAAATGAAACATGTAAGTGGACTTACCCATCACTTCTTCAACTGTATCACTGAAATGCGACAAATATTGGCCGACTGCTTATTCTAAACAGCAATAGAACATTTGTACGTAGAGAAGCTGCTTACCTGTTTTTGAGCAGCATAACTATTTTGCTTCTCCACAGGGCCGTTTTTCAATGCTTTCTCCCTGGCATGGTCTGCCACCGGGTTCTGGTGTGGGATTGTTACACTGGCGAGTTCGAGTGCTTTCTCCATTGATGCAGGTGGACCAGGCACTCCAACAGCTCCAGCCTCCATCAGTAACAACTAATATAAAGACAGCATGGTAGGATTAGTCCAGCATCTTTCTGTCTTCTGTGCAGTGACAGAAGGATTAATTAGAGCTTTTTACTTGGTGCTTTTGAGGTTGGACAAGGCAGGCCATGATTCAGTTCTTACATTCTCAGTTATGGTGACTCTGCAGCACCCTCCAGCATACATCCCATGACAAAGAAACGCCCTTGTCAGTGGCACTGCTTAAGAGCCCAGAGGTTTCAACATTTTTGTGACCCTAGGAAGCTGCCTGAATATCAAGTTCTAAGGCTCATTTTGGGCACCTGGGCTTTAAAAACTTAGCCACAGGGAAGGAATTTACCACACAATAATTTTTTTACATAGTCAGTCGTGGAACTGCATTCATCTCCCTCATCTCCTTTGTGGACTAATCTAATATTAAGCTAGCACAGTAATTATGAAATGTGATCGTGTGTTAGCAAACACAGTGCCTTTGCAGGAAACTGAAGACAAAACAGCTTACGACGTGATGACATTGCTGTTGCCTGAAATCAACTTGCCGTTACTGCTCCATTCTTCAGTAATGCTCCTGTTTATTTAAACAAACTTGGTGTATCATTTCAAGACACAACAAAGTATGTGGAACAATGAACTCTAATTTAGAGTGCCCTCTTTATGGAAAGAATACATTAACTTACACTAACTTCCACACCATATACCTATGAGATTTGACAGAAGTGGATATAAGGGATTACTATGACAGTGTTCTGTCCTTATGAAGGCTCAGTTTGTCAGGAATTGTTCACAATAACAAATATGTGCATTGTGGTCTGTCTGGAGTATTTACTAACCTTTAATTAATGTAGATTTGGGAATCTGACAAGCAATTCCCTTAAAGTAGCTCGAGCACATGCATGTACAGGCTCCATCGACCAGCACAAGAGTGCCTCCATTTTTGCAGGGTTCACATTTGCACACACTGTATTCAGTAATGTAATCTTCAATTGCTCTTTCCAAATTTCGTTTCTTTAAATATGCATCTCTTATTTTAACTGGAACAAGTGTATGTATTGGAGAAGGCTGTAGAAGAAAATAGACAGTGCAGAATAGACTTTTCTGAAGTTCTGAATCCTTTTGATATACCCTCACTAGAGTAAGAATCTGAAGAAATTGTCAAGAAGAAGAAAATACCTGAAAGATCATGATAAACTCGGAGTCTCACTTCCATCTTAGAACAAAAGCTTTCAAACTGTAAGAGCCATCGCTTTAAAGAAGTTCTACTTACCCGTTGCTGTATCACTACTGGAGCATCAACCAAAGACTTAGCCCACTGTATGTAATCCTCTACATCAACCATTTTTGATCCTCGCAGTAACATTTCTTTTATTTTAACTGAGAAGTCAATCGTCCCTCCATCAACTAAGGAAATGACATCGTCAATGACAGCATCATCCTTAAGTTCTGCTGCAGAAAGAGGAGAAGATGAAGAAGAAATTTTAATGCTCATACATCTTGAAGAACTGTTGCCTTTTCAGTGCAACAAGTCCATCTCTATAAAATGGCCATAGAGCAAAGAACCTTTCACTCACTGGTTTTAGTGGAACTGAATTTTTCTTTGCTCATACCTCTTATGAGGGAGGAAATCTTCTATTTCTCAATTAAGTTAGAAAACCCTATATCTGTAAGGAAAAGATGTGTTATGGCATGAGAGACATTATGGAGATCATAGCCATTTGATCACAAGCCAAAGATAACATGAGTAATGCTACTGAGCTGAACTGGAAAAGGGTAGGAACTGCAATAGTAAGAGCTTCTGGATCATAACTAAAACACAAGAACAGAGCACTGAAAATATTTGCCTCTTCTGTGCTTGGTAGTATATCTCCTTGCCTTTCACAGTTTTTAGGTCATGGGATCAGACTCATCTCTAGACACACAAAGGAGCAGACATGACAGGCAGGGGAACACAAGGAGCCTAATTGGAGAAAAGGAGCCCCTGCCTTGACTCCTCCCAGACCCGTCCCAGCAGAGCCATTAGCCCCACAGGACAGTGCTGAGAATGAGTCCACAGCAAGATAAGTCAATGAAAAGACTCTCTGGATGTGAAGAAGGGCATTTTGGGATTGCACAAACTCACATACTTAAAGTATATTTAGGGGAGTGCTGTTGAAGAAGTAAGGGGGGATCAAGGTGGTTTTGGGAGAAAAAAGCATGGGAAAACAGAGGGATAAAGGTAAAAAAGGGGACTGATTGCATTAGGAAGGTGGCTGATCAGTGAGCTTGTCTGCCATGTACTGTCCTTGATCTTTGCGGTCTGTCCTGGCTTTACCATTACATTTAATTTCTAGCTATTTTCATGGCTGAGGAGAGTCTATTCTGCATGCATGTGTGTATATGGAGATCTGCGTGCCAGCAACTAGAGCTGGACAATGGCTGATAGACACCTGGTGTTTGTGGTGCAAATAACTGGAGTGAGTGAGGATACATATGACAGTGTGTGATCACCAGCAAGTATCAAGCCAGACTAGCAGGTGAATAGGGTAAGTGGCTTGGGAGCCATGTATATAAGTGGCCTAGATTTGTACGTGTCTCTAGAGTGAGACAACTGGAGGAGCTGGCTACTGCAGTGACCAGAGATTCTAAGCCAAATACTGGAAAGACCCCAAGATCCTGGCATTGACTGAGACCTGTTTGCATGTGAGTGAGTGTCTGTATAAAGCAACTGGAGATAAGAGGATCCAAGGGCCAATTGCTGGGTAGACTGAGCATCTAAGGCCAATTGCTGAAGGCATCCATAGTGTGTATTGGGGTATGTGCGTTGGTGTGCATGAGGTGGTCTGTACCAACAAAGAGAGTGGAGCTGTGGGCCTCGGGGTGTTGTATATCCAGGTGCCAGCAACAGGGGGAGGCTAAGGATCTAGTTGCTGGTTTGACTGAATGTCTAAGGTCAGCTGCTGGAAGGACATGTATTGGCTATATATATTTTTTGAGAAGGGGCTAAAATACCTGAGGGTTATGCTGCTTGAGCACGACATCTGCTCTAGATGACCTTGCTTGAGCAGGCAAGTTGCACTAGCTGGCCTACATAGGACCCTCCCAACCTCAGCCATTCTGTGCTTCTGTGGTATTTCCCACTAACAGACTTTCACCCTGATCAGATGGAGCAGAGAACAGGGTGAAGCCATCAGTGCAGTTTGTGTTTGCCTGAGTGCTGTGCTTCTGTCCATATTGACCTGCATGGCCAGCAATGTGTGTATGTATGTATGTGTTTGTGTGCGTGCCTACTGGGAACACATGTTCAGCCTGGCTTGGCCTGGGAGCATGTAGGTATGACAGCCTAACCTCTGCTGGTCTACCAGATTTGTCCTTTCCCTAGCAGCAATAACTATATTGATTATAAAAGGGGAAGAAACTGGTATCGTCTTTCCTTAAGCAAAAGATTTAATGTAAAATAAGGACATACTTACAGTTTTCCTTCACATGAATCTTTTCACATTTACCACTATCAATATTGACATTGGCATGTATGTCTTTGTATGCAATATTGGCATCTAAGTGATAGCCGAGACATCTTTTCACATCTTCTACAGTGATACCTGAAAGTGGGAATAATTAGGTGATTAAAGGGATTGAATGACCATAAATATTGTGATATTATTATGCTTGGAGAATAAATTTCAGGGCTACTGGAAATGCTTCTAGCTTTCTTCTTCCCATTTACCTTCTGCTTTTTCCTCTTCCATGAAATGAATGGAAGGATGATTGTATTTGAAGTGCCTGAACAGAGGCAAGTGAGATCTACAGTGACTAGGAAAATACCCAAACTCTCCAAAAACTGATTAATATTTTCCTTCATCTTGCTGAAAGCAGATGTCCCATATATTCTACTGAATTTTGACTCTCTCAGCTGCTTATCATTTGCTCTTTCTGTGTGCTAAATTACTCAGTCCTCCCAGTCTCCCTCTCCCAACCTCAAACACATTTCTCCACTTCTTTTTCCCATGAAGTTAATTAACACCACTAATCTCTTACAAGACTCTATTCCCAAAAGTTCCAATCCTTCCCTATTCGCTACTGCCTCCAACACCTCCTTTCTATTTATTAAACTCAAACCTATAGTCTGGAACTTCACTTGTGTGTTCAGAAAGGGTTTTGCTTGAGATTTGTTCTTAAAAAAAATCCAGCACCACAATCTTCATGTGCTGAGCAGAGCAATACTGGGGTATGTAAGAGACATCTTTGCCCTGCGTCCCTTTGCATAGGTTGAATATCTAATAGTAACGTTGTTGTTGGTGCTCCATGCAGCATGTACTTATTTTCTGATCTCCAAAATCAGCATGAGATTTACCTTTTCTAACTTTATTCCAGAATGATCACTTTAATCCATCACAAAACCACATATATCTGAATAGTACATGAGGGAGGACTAGGTTACTACTTTCCTATCTCAACCAGCACAAGGAAAAATACAGTGTGGATGTTAAAGTCTATAGAAACAGTTTCAACATACTTCAGTGCTGCATGTGATTTCTAGGAGGTGCTTAAATTAATTCCATATTTTTTTGCCACCACCATATTCTTAGAGTGATTGTACCACAATAAGGTATCAACTAGCAAACTGGATTTAAGGTTTAGGCAGATTTTCTAGGCATTGGGGACAACTGGTGAATCATGTCACACCAGTTAGTATTACTAATATTTTGAAGAGTTTTGTTTCAGATTTTTTTTTTTCCTCAGTTACAGACCAAAAACAGACTTTACTAATGCTGGAAGTTACAAAGACTGACTCTCATGTCTGTTGAACTCGGGTATTTCTGTAATGTCACTGGTGTGCCGCAAGGAGCACACACGTAGCTGTGCTGATCTCAGTAGTGCTCCATATACACAAATTTGCCACATACACATATCTATCCTCACACATCTCTTTGCATGACTGGAGACTTGGTGATAATCTGCATACCACAGCAAGGCCAACAGAATGCATACCTATTCGAGACATAGCGTAATCATCCAGCACGTACACAAGTTCATATTTTCCTCCTACAGTTCCAGAGACCGCATAATGAGTTCCATAATCTTCTAGGAATTTGAAATATTCCCCCTTATCGTATACAGCAGGTAGAAAGTTTATATCATCAAGGAAACTATCTGTGAGACGGACATCACGACTCCTCATTTGGAATCTTCCGAGCTGAATTTTTCCTTTTATATGGAGAAACGTTTGGTTCTGAGTGCAAGGAGAAGAAAGCAGGTGAGAGTGCCACTCTGGTATGCAGCACAGCAGGAAAATCTGTTGTATTTTGCTGATGAACAAAGTGCAGTGCTTTTAAGTATGGTATTCAATCTAGCATTTTGGAACGGGGACAAAATTCTTTAATTCAAATTGAAAGTTCTCCAATTTAAACTGAGGAAGCAGCAATAGGTTTAGATCATTTCAGTTCTTCCAGTTTTGCAGAACTCTTCCCTTACTAATTTCAGCAAGCCCTTTGTGATCTATTTGACAACAAGGTCTTCTTTTTCAGTACCATATCTACCAAAATTGTTTCTGACTTTCATAACATTAAAAAGTAATTCCATATGGCTCACCAGATAACAGAACCTGCCCACAGAGGTCAGCTGGAGTTTTGACTTTGTTTATCGTCAGAGCAGAACTAAGTTCTCTCTTTTTTTGGATCACTTCTCTGTTGTTCTCAGACTGTTAGAAGGAAGGGCACAGCTCCAATTAAGCACAAAAAAACCAAAATAACATCATAAAATCATAATTAATGAGGAAAAATCCCTTTGAGTCATTTGACCCATACATACCTTCTAACTCTAGGTTTAGTGACTGGTATTTTCATAAATTACACTGCAGATGGTTTTATATCATAAACTAAACTAGGACCTAGCTGCTGCCCGTAACACATGACATCTTGTGAAATTGTTGCACTTTAGACTCTAAGCCAACACACGCCTTCCAAACCCCATTATTGTCTGCAGTACTTATGTGACTCCCTTAACAGTAATGCCTAACAGGAGCTGCGTAAAAGGGGTTTAGAAACTGACCATCACATTAGCTGGTAGCATTTAAAGGATCTTAAACTTCTGACTCTGATGCTGCTGAGGAACGGCAGAAACACTCAGGTATCTAAATCTCTGTGAGGAAGTTTTTGTAGGTGCAAGTAGTCATGCCATCCAGCACGTACAGAACCCCTTACTCTTCTGATATTCCCTAAGCTGCTCCTGGATTTAACTTACAGGTGACCCCTGGAGAGTTCTTGACCAGGGACTGCCACTCCACTAACCTGCAGCAGTGTCTTTGTGGTGATAGACCTCTGCAAGTGACAGATCATGACTCATTTTCTGAGCTGATCTCTGAGCAAGAATTTGAGGCCAAAACTCCTATTGCAAGCCACTAGACTACAAGTAGATTGCAATATACGCTGAGCTACAGAACTTGATCTTTTGTGTCTGTGGAGATGAATGCTTTGAAATTGAAATGGTCTGTTTCTGTTCCAAGAAAACTCATACCAATACGAAGTCAGTGCTGTATGTCATCTTCTCTCCATAGTACAGACATTTCTCTTCCACATTACTTTAATTAATCAGTTATAAAAGTTCTCTTAGTTTTCCCTCATAGCCATTTGATCTCCAGAGCTCTGAAGGGGTCTTAGGCAACAAGGCTGACAAGAAACTTGAAAGATTGAACCAGTTGAGGCAGATGTAGTCTTCCTTCCATGTGGCATTTCAGCTCTATGGAGTTGATGTACCTTGTATATGATGGCATGCTATGATCACAGACTTTGGCATATACGACAGGAAAGGGTATATATGACCTGGTCCACTAGTGCCCAGCTGCTAGATTAGCCATAGTATCTAGCATGCCTAGCACCATTAGATGCTAAGGCTACTTCTTTACTGGTAAATAAACTGGTATAGCGCCTTTCCTCTGTCTCAAAGGGCAGGTAGAACAGTATGGCTTGTGTGCACCCCCAAAATAGGCTTGCTTACTCCAGACTGCCTGCAGGGAACATTCCCTTTAAACATGCAGGATGGGCATTGCTGATGAGAGAACAAGAACTGGCCCAGACCAAAATCACGGCGGTGTGCTAGTAAAACTACGGATTATCGTGTGCCGGTGCTAATGCCCATGCCTCTTAGCCCAGGCTAGTTTATTAGTACAGACATATGTGAATAGCTGACATCCGAACTTTCAGTTATTATTATGCATGTCTATTTTGTGTTTACCTAGTGTAAGCCTACTCAGTGGCAATTTTTATGCCAGGACTTGACCTAATTTGCCCACACTGCCCTAGATCAGAGCTGCTCTCTAATCAAGATGAGATCAGAGATTTTTGGCCCTTTCTAACATCAAGCCCTTGTTGAAGATGAGGATGGTAATTAGTCAATGGTAGATAGTGGGGAAATGAAGCTACATTCAGTTACTTTTTGGCGACGTCTGAAATCTTAACCGTATTATTGCCAGTATTTCATTTTTGTGAATAAATGACAGAAAAGCATCAGGCAACTGGAATACTTAGAAAGATTACTATTGTGTTATTCTAACATTGTGTAAATTTTAATGTTTGTAAAATAGTTAGAAGAAACCCTTTAGCTTGATTAAACTTACCCTTTCTGTGGAGCTTTTCAGAATAGAAGTTAAACTTGAATTCTTGCTGTAGTAATACTTGAAATTTCCATCTGAACCATTCTTGTTACTTCCTTCAGTAGGTGTGTATTTCAGAGACAGGTCAACATTAAAATGTTTTTGTTTATCTATGTAAACCTCTCGCAACATTTTTACACGATCATGGTAGAACACAGATGTGAAGGTTTTGTCTGCTTTCGTCTTAGTGAAAGGGTTGTATGAGAAAACAAAACAGACAGTAATAGAAAAATCTAGGTAGCATTTTAAAGTTGTATGTTTTAGATAGCTTAGCAATACATTTTCTTACAGCTCTTTTTTCTTGTAAAAGAAAATAAATGGAAATAAACGGAAATAAATGGAAATACGTCCCGCTCCCGAAACCACTTTGTCTGGGTCAGCTCAGTGGTTCAAAACTAAATAGAAAACTGCAGTGATAATATTTCAGTGAGTGTTAAATCTCAGCTCATAACACTGTCTAAGTAATCTATGTGTGTCAGCGGTTCCTTTACATATAAGGAGTAGTAGTCTCCAGTTCCTTCCTGGAACGCAGACAAGATCTACTAATAGGTCCCAACATCTGAAATAAATCCAAATTATTATTTTTCTTTCTTTTCCTATAGCAGGCAACAGCTAATTCAGAATAACTACTTCAGTATTGTTTATTTTTTTATACTTTCATACAACATAGAGTTTTAGTAACTGAAAATGGCTATGCATCAAAATCAAATATGAGCAATGATCTCTCGGTCAGTTTTATTCATTTTGTGCAGGACCTGGTTTAAATTGTCATTGTTCTATGAAGTTCCTACTTACAGTGATAGGCAAAGCATTTGGTAAGCAAAATACTGCTTTGATTTCTGAAATGCACGTGACACTCATGTTTCTAAGACCATCAGCATTTCTGATGTTCAAACCTCACTGGAAGTCATAGTCTGAATCTCAAAAGCCTATTAGTTTTTTTCCAGTGGGAAAGAGAAAGTCATCACTGATTAGAAAACCCAAGCAAGACCAGAGAGTCATAATATTATTCCTGCCTTTTTATCAATGCTCTTTGTGTGTCCTTGAAAAAGTAGCTTGATTGCTGCTCTGCCCAGTAAATATTAGGTATCATATTCTCTGTACGTGTCCTGTTTGTCCCATCTGCTGGCATTGTAAACATTCTAGAAAGATAGTTTCGTTTACCGGGCACAGGTGCAGCAATGAAGCTGTGGGAATTCATCTGGTGCAACTGAGCTTAACTGCCAAAGCAAATGATAACATAACCTGTTTCCCTCTGGAATTTATCGAAAGCTTGATGCTAAAAAGGTGCTGCTGCCTGACTCAAAAGATATTCTGAGTCTTCCAAGAGGATGTAATTCAGTTAAACAGACCCCAGTTTGACCAGAAGGACTTAGACTTACATCATAAGTGAGAACACCCACGTTCCATGGCTTGCGGTAGTATGTCCGTGTGTTTCCATCACGCACCCTTTCACAAAGACCATTGAAAAAGTCATTGTCAAATGGGCTGGCCATTGGCTGCATCCCTAAAATGTTGATTCTACAAGAGAAATATAGCAGAGGTTACACTTCAAAAAAGAAGGTGTCAGGACCCATAGGCTGTAGACAATGGTATTATGACTGGATTCAGTAAGAGGTGGAGACTATAGCTGTGAAACTGAATCTAGTTTCACCACAGCAGCTTGTCTCATCTCTTGTGGTTCTCTCATCTGTGTAATGTAGATAATGATACATCTTTTAAACTTAAAGGCCCATGTACGAGAAAAAAACAAATAAAAGACAGATATGAAACATCAAACACAGTGAGAGCCTTATGAATAACAGGAAGTAAATAACATTTCTTCTTGACCAATGTATTTGTGAGGAAGCATTCCTTACAGATTTAAACCATCTACTTTTAACCTGTTTTTTTTAATAACTAATATTAGTTTGTTTGCTGGTAGGAACTTTGGTATCAAGTGTGTACAAGACCCATCAAATCTGTAGAAGGAATGTAAAGCTACTCCTAGCATTGTCTTCACTCCCTGGTGGAGTAATAGAATTCCCTGGAGCAGAGGAGAAGAAATCTGAACTACTACAAATCCAGAGAAGCGGGCATATCAGCTCTATAGTTCTATGCATCTACATACCAATGTACAAGATATACTTCCAAAAATAACTGCTCCTTGAGGATTCTATACAATTTTTTTTTGCCTTTCTATGTCAGTTTCATAGATTTGAGTCTTTCCAGTATTTCCAATATTTATGTCTGTTACATGTCCATATGCCTATTGGAGTGTGGTTATCATTTCATCAAAGTTGCCAGTGTCACTACTGCACATCTATACAACATTTTCTCATGGAAAAATTTAGTAGTTGATCATAACAGAAATAATAAAGAAGCTACTTCTAAAAATGCCTAAGTACCTGGCTTGCTTCCCTATGCTACAAGGGCAGCATTTTTGCTCTTGTGCAGTAATACTATTATCAAAATTAAAAGAAAAGGATGCATACTTTTCATTTAAACAGAAGGTGGTGCTGTAGTATACTTTTCATTTGTTTCAGTTTAGATAGCTGGCTTCTAACTCAATTTGTAGATAAGCAGTATGTTACACTTTCCTTTTATTTGAAAAGAAGGAAATCCAGCAGAGTGTGAGAACAGAAAGATTAATTTTATTCTTAGATTAATGAGCAAAACTCCTGTAAACAATGAAGATTTAAGAAGTGGGGAATGTAATACGGGAAAAAAAGCTGCAAGCTGAGTGTTGTTGCAGTAAGGTATCACATTGTATAAATAATCAGGATACATTTTCTTCCTATTGGATATGCATGTTAGTAAATTAATTGGGAATGGCTGATTTGTTATAAAATATCAGCTGAAACATATATATATCTGTAAGCTTTACATTTAAATAATAAATATTGTAAGTATGTTCATGTAACTTCTACATATGATTCTGTGTATTAACACAATTATTGATTTATACTGTCTGTAGAAATATTTAATCCTCCCCAAGTAACCAAAATAAAACAGCAGTTTTGTGTTCTTCCAAAAGCTATGTAGTATTTCTGAACACAAATGTGAACAGGATTCACGTTCCACATTTAGGAATGTTATTGTGCTGCAGTGTTTTAAGCTGGCTTTGGAGACAGTCTTAGACTCTTCACAAGGCCCAATACTACTTTTTCCTTCATTACATACCCTTGCCCTGCAGTCCTGCCAACTTCAGACACATCAATATCATGGTTACGGCATGGTGATCGTGGGTCGGATTCACAGTTATCTTCATCAGAAAAGTCTCCACAGTCATTATCTACGTTACACACAAGTCGTCGCTTTATGCATCGACCTAATCAAAGAACAAAACATTGGATGAATGCACTTTTTTCCCAAGAGGGACTTCAAATGACACCCCAGCTACGCTTTCTTGAGATCTTCCTCTTTGTATATTTATTTTATTGTCACAAGAAATTCAAGTATTATACCCTGCCTCCTTCAAATGAAAAAATACCCCATACTACTATATATACTTATGAGTTCACTAGGATGGCTAAGAAAAATAAGTGACAGAACTGCTGTCATTTGCAGAAAGCTGTTACTTCCTGTGATTTTTTTCTATATTAATCTTTGATTAATAGTTTTTTTTTTCATTTTTATTAAGAGATTATAGGAAAATATTAATTCAACATCAACAAACAACTATTTCTAAATTGTTTGAATTGTTGCTATTTAGACTGTATTATTTGGACACTGTCATGTCCAAAACTATAGTGATTTGTGATCTAAATCAACCACGAAGTAGCAGTTGTCCTGAGGTTGCATATCATAGGTTTTACAAAGACTGATTTTTTTGTCTAAAGGATTTAAAGATTTGGGGTAAATTTAGCACTAGCATAATAAAACAACACTTCTTGACACCAACTGCCTCACCTGTAAGTGCCACACAGTGGCTGTGAACTACTAGTTAAACACATACTTTCTGATTTTAATTCCTCTACTTGCACTTCACAGTATTTTTGACAAAGACAATACTGACAAAGGCTTGAGACTCAAAATTTGCTTACCATCTTTCCTCTTCTGTTTTGACTAGTTTTATTACGATTAAATTTTCCTATTTTATTTTGACTAATCTTGAAAACTATATTCATTCATATGCCCTGCATGTATCAATTCACAAATTTGCATCTTACTTTGGATCTAGAGGCATTCTGGTGTCTAGCATCTATCATTCCACTTTGGTCAGTTAACCTCCCTATCCATTTTTTTAAAATTCCTTTAGTCCTAGTTTTTCCCATTGATTTTTCATAAAACATAGTGATTCTGTAGTATGTGGAGCAGTTATGCTAGAAGAAAGGACACTCATAGTGTGGTCAACTTATAACCATGGAGTAGAAATTACAGGAGAGAAGATTAGACTAGATGCAAATTCTAATGGGAGATGAGATGAATGTACCCTTCATCAAGCATTGTTCCTGCTGTGGTTTTGGTGCTGTGACTTTGCAACACACCTGTCTGCACCCTGGGGACTCTCTTTAAACCCTAGAAATAAGACACTGCTTCAGGAAATAATCCCGAACTAGAAAAGCACTGAAGCATATTTCTCTTCTTGTGTATGTATTTTGTCTTCAATGGAAAGTGATTTGACTTCTTCAGAACTAAGCGAACATGGTTTCCTGAGTTATTGCATAACTCACTATGGCATGAAAACAAAACCTACCAGAATTGCACTGGAAGTCAGTACCACAGTCTGGTTCTGGTTCTTCAGGACATACTTTGCTGATTTCACAGCTTTGTGTATCTCCTAAGGTCTCCAGGCACGGTGTTCCACCAAACTGCCCAAATCTTTCAATACGTCTAGAGCGAAACTTGAAGAATAAATAACATTATTAACATTGCTTAGAGAGAAAAGAGAACTACCAGAACTGTAGCACTTCCAGCTGGACTTAGAACTTTTCAAAATGAAGCATCTTTAGTGAAATTTTTGGTTGAAAATCCATAGACAGAGCTCATGGTATAAAAGAAGTGTACAGGAACATTGAACTAATAATAATGTCTTAGCCAGTATGTAGAGATGCTTACTTTTCACTGTTTGGTTTATATCACTATTTTCATTATTTTCAATCCAGGAAGGAGGTGCATCATACATATTTTGTATGCTTTCAAGTCTTTCATTTTTTTGAAGTCTCATAAAAAGAACTCTTCTAAAAAAATAAAAATCTGCTTTTGAAAATTTGGTTTTTATTTAAAAATGAAAAATGTATTGAAAAGTAATGCTCTTAATAAAAACATCCATATGGCTAAAATAGATAATTTCTATCAACAAAACATTTTGAATGAGAATGCTTGAGCCATTTGGTAAATCTGGATGTAATTTTCTCTTACTTTTATGGCTCCAGATCTGAAATGATTATGGGTTTCATCAAATCATGAACATACAATATTAAGAGTTGCAATCTGGTATTTTCCCATAACCAAAAGACAGATAGATGATGTTGCTTTAGTTGTGGCTTTGGAAGAAAAACTTCCAACTATAGCTTACCCTTTGAGAGGTGCATGGGTCGCAGGGCCCCCATGTGCTCCAGCTGCTCAGCTTACAATCTATCGGAGATGGAGCATTCAGTTCTCTTGTTCCCCTGTGGAGAGCTTTTTCTGAAGAGCTGTCAAACAAAACATTCTAGTACAATCCTGAGCAGTACACTAAAATCACATGTGAGTTTATATTTAAACCATAGACCAGTATTTTGGAAGCATCCTCAGCCTGTTTTCTGCTTCACTTTCATAGCAGTACTTGGTAGTAAGATGTATAAGAAGCTGCCTAATATTAAATTATCTGGTGATTTAAAATTACTTTAAAAAAACTTTGAAGACGTAATAAACCAGATATTTTTCCTTTTCTTAGATATTTTTGCATACTCATACTCTTCTGGTGGATCATACTATTGAAGAGAATCAAATAACAATACACAGAGAACATCTGCAGTTCCCTTATTCAAACAGTGGCTGTATTCGCCATACTTAAAGATCAAGACAAGGCACAGCAGCACATCTCAAATAGATGTAGGACTTCAATACATGTCTTTGTGATATTTTGGCTTATTAACTTGAGTGGGGTTGCCCTTAAGCCTAGATAAAAGCTTAAATGCTTTCCTGAGTTGAAAGAAGGCTCGTAAAGAAAGGTGTTATTTGCTAATAGGCCAACATATAATTGGGAAAGACAGACAAGTGTTTAGCTATCTCAGTATTCTTCAGCTTGCCAAGTCGAACACTTTGCCTGTTCGGTCTATATTTGCTAGAGTGACTTTTCATTTTGGTGCCCATGGTATTTAAACATACCATGTTTAAATACCATGAAACTCCTGGCTCTCAGTAGGTGAAAGGCCATCACTTTACGGAAATCATATTTCTTTGAGGCACCCACAATGAGACATTAAAAACTTATGCACAGTAGGATTACTTGTTCATTTTAAAAACCAAGGCCAATAGTTTACTTGTGACCTTATCTTCGCTGGTAACAACGCTGGAAAGCATGGGAATGGAGGAGCATGAAGTCCAACTTGCCTGGTTTGGTCTCTGTAATTTACCCCAGTTTGGCCTTTCACGCTGAGTATTCATCCACTGTGAAACAACTCTTTCTCTGCACTGCTCCAGGTTAATACTATTGCCTCTGCTCTACAATGGGACCTTCTTTGCTGAGCCCAGCTGGTTGGCAGATCTGCAGGTCCCACAGTGTCATGTATGGGCTTTTGTTGCAGGCAGGGCCTTGCCCTCCACTCTTTGACCCCCTTCCTTCGTACAAATATGTCAGGAGTCCAAACAAATATAACCTGATTCCACAAGATTGAGAAATCTGCAGTTTGGACAGGGAAGATATACCAGTTGATTCAGCTTTCTTGTACCATTTATTGTATGTTCAGGTTACATATGTAGTAAGGTGTTATTGAGATGCTAAATTGACCTATGTCTCTTTCCAGCTATTGAATCTTAAACAGCTCAGGGATCACAGGGTAGTTGTGCAACTTTTTATACACTCAGCTGACCCTGACTGGCTCTGATGCCTCAGACTTTTCACTGTCACACACCCCAGCAGTAAACACGCACCACAGCTGCTGCTGGAAGTATCATAGACTCCCACTGTCTTGCCTACTGCTCCTAAACAACTCTGTTCCCAGAATTCTCCTGACCTCAAGATAGGGCCTGCAGTAAATGGATCCTTGGCTGAGGACGTTGCTTTTAACAGGTGGGATTCTAAAAAAAAAGAAACAATAAAAAGCACAAATACACCCAATATCTGTGGACAGCAGAAATGAGATAAAGAATTAAGGATTCTCTCCACTCAATAGGACCTCTTACAGTCTTAGCAGGTAGGGAAGTGTGGAGCTTTGCTTTGTGCCTGGTACCAGAAACTGGGGTAGCTGAGAGAGAATGCAGATCCAACCTTGTGATAAGTCCATTCTACACAGAATTCCCTTTGATTAATTCTCCGGTGAACTCAGCACCTAAGTGAACAACCCACATGTTGGCAGCTGAAAGTCCTGGGAACTTGGGAGATGGCACTGAATACTTGCCTTGTTTTTACACTTCCCCCTGACCATCCTTTAATGATCACTATCAGGGATAGGGTAATGGATCAGCTGTCTCTTTGCTCTGACCCAGAAAGATTGTGATTAGATTCATCATAGTACTTTTAATTGGAGCCTTTTCTTCTACTTTCATACAGCCACTTAGGGCATAGCTTTCTTTCTCCAGTGCTGTTGAGGTTTACAGATCCCAAACCACTCTGCAAGGTGTGTGTATATTGCCTAAGCATGCATGCTTACATACATCAGAATGACACTTCAGCCTGGGAACTGATACTGAAGTTCTGCTTGCAATCACACCTACTCTGTGTTATATTAAGGTTTATAACTCTAAGATAAGAAAGAAAGAGAAAGAAGCATCTTGTAATAACTTCTAAAGAAAAGGCTAAGTCCTAGAAGGTAATTATATAGAAGATGGAGGCACCAAGCAGAAGTTGCTTCAGGGGAAATGCCATCTGAATATGAAAAAAACCAACATTATCATGAGAACAATTAAGTATTGGAATAGTTTACCCAGGGTAATGGTAGAACGTTCCTCACTAGAAATGCTCATGACTGTTTGACAAGATCCTGGACAACCTGATCTAAGGTCCTGCTTTGAACAGAACATTGTACAAGATCTCCAGAGGTCCCTTTCACCTTGGACTTTTCAATGTTTTCTACAGTTCTATGAAATTCTGGAAAGTTGTAACATATCTGAAGTTTGATGCAGCCTCCAGCCTCTTAAAAAACCAATTCTTTTGCTTGCAATTAGCTCATCTTACAAACACTTCAGCAATGCTACAATTTACTGTAACTTCATAATAAGCAGGCAATGCTTTGAAAAGTTGCTGTACAGTATTCTATTAAACATTTTTCCACCACTCAATATGACAGTCACATCAATGTTGGGAAGAAATTGAAATCTACTTGTCTGGCAAATGGATGAGAATCAGTTTGTTCCTTCCTGCATCTGTAAAGATGGATGCGTATATGACCCTTCCATGTCCTTACTGATGTAGGAATATAAATCTCTGAGTAACAACATCTATTCTGGCATCTTGGGTTGAAGACTGACAGGTTGTCCTTAAAGATAGTAAGAACAGGTACCCTTAGACACTAGACCTTAAATATATATTGAGGCACCTAATAGGATTCGTAAAGGCAGATCGTTATCTTATTCTTAGCAGTTACCAGGTTTTAGGTATTGTAGAAGTTTATATTGAAATGCATCTCTCAACTTTTAAATTTCTATGTTAAAAATGCATTCCAAATCCCTTGCAAGCAGTAAAAACAAGATATGAAGAGCGCTGTCTAGGAGTGCCTAAAGGAGCAACCAGACTCAAGATAGTACATATCCTAGTCAGTCTCCCAAAAGCTCCTATAAGTCATTATTCTGAGTCTAAAATAAAAATCCCAGGTGGGAAAGGCTGAGCTGAACTTTTCAATGCAAATGGAAGTCTTGCCATCAACTGTCTGAAAAACAGAGTTGATGGTAGCCTTTGAGCTGACTTTCAGGTGGCAAAGGTTTTCACATAATCCCCACTGAGAAACTTCTGCAAGAATATTCATTGAGTGACGTGCATGCAGCCCTAAGCCCCTTCAAGGTTCGAGTACAAATCTCACATAATTTGCTGCAGATCCAGCTTTAGGGTTTTGGATTTACTTGAGGTTAGAAAAGAAAAACAAAACAGAAAAAACTCATTACAAATGAGTCTCATGAACTCTGAAACATCAGCAGTGCATTCACTATCCAGATTGATCTGGAAATTCAAATGGACATATATGGAAAGAGCATTTTATTCAACATCACTGTTTGGAAAAAACAAAGAGAGTAGGAGAACGGGCAAGCTTGTCACCTCCACATTAAACCCAGGAAGAAAGAGTTACTGAAAAATCATGCTGAAACAAAAGATACTAAGTCACACAATTTAAATTGGAGAGGAGGTAAGAACAGTTCAGCTACTGAAGAATGTCACTGAAGGTGGCAGTTGGGAGCAAGAACTTCAGAGACAAGTGTGGAAAGTGAAATACCTTCTTTACTATCAATTATTGGAAAGGCTTGAGGGACAGAAGAGTGTTCTTCGGAAAGGAAAAGCCATTTCACAATCAGTACACAAAATTGCTTGTACCTTGTCTTGGATTGCACAACACTCTATGTACAACCACAGGCCACACGGCTTTGGTGATTTGTTGTTGATCTGTACTTCAAAATATAGAGCTGTTCAGTTCAACAGTTACAAAACTGATGACTCAAGAAAAAGTCTTGGTTTGACAGCACTGATCATGAGAGAGGACGCAGCTCTTTTGAATTTGGAGACATGATAGCATGATATGAGGGTATAATTTCACCACCTCTAGTTGCTAGCACCATCGTGAAGCTGCATAGTCTTTGGTATGATGTGAAGTCAAGCTGCCTCCTATGGACTCTCTATAATAATCATATCTGTTGGCTGGACTGTTTCTAGCTGAATATATCAAACCTGTGCTTTAATAATAATAAACATCAAAGAATAAGGAGAGAGTGAAGTAGCAACCTCTATAGTTTTGAAGGTTGCCCTTCAAAGTCTGTTCAGGTATTTCGAGAGATAATAGCAGCAGCCACCCTCGGGCCTAAACATATGTGCAAGAGGCAATACTTGGTTGTTCAGCTAGCATTCACATGTTATTGCAAAACACTTCATATACTGCAATTTAAGTCTTAAAGCAGATGGATCCCAATTAGTTCTTGATGTACATATGTCTATTATGAGATTCACATTCTTTCACCACTTAGTACTGACTATTCTCATAAATGACAGACTAGGCAGCTCTATTTCTAGTAGCGTAGCTCTTCAGTTGTTTTCTCATGACATTTCTGTAGGGACTAAGCCTTTAGTTCTCCTTCTAGTGATACGGTGAAAAACCAATGACTATATTTCTAAAGAATTAGAAATAGGCAGCCTAGGAGACTTTGAATAGGAATAGAAGTACTGTCAGCATAAAATTTTGCATCTTCAGAAACAAATAAATTTAGATTAGATCATATTTTCACAGTCAGCATGCAATAGAAAACAGTTGCGTGAGCTCCACCTTCCTGCAAGAACATAGCTTCAACTGCTATCAGTCACCTTTATTGTGCCACATACATTCAAAACCAATGGATAAATCATTTCTATTTGACTCCTTGAAATAGAGTATTAGTTTCCTTTTTCGTTGGATATCCACCATTAGAAATGTCTGCATTGGAGGTTTATGCTCTGTGTTGGAGAAAAAAAACAGTATGAACATCTGCAGAAGACCAAGGACACTTACCTTCTGCTTTCCCCCAAAAGCGAGACAGCCACCTCTAAACTGCATAGTATGGATAAAAGCTGCAGGATAATGTGCATGCTTCTCGTTTTGTAGCTGAATAGACAAGAATTGCCATGACTGAATTTGTAATTTCTTTATTTGTTCCTTTTGTTATTTATTACCAAGAGAACAAACAAAAAGCACTGCTTACGGAAGAATGCCAGTTACTGGCCAAAACTGCTTTACGGTAAGTGCTCTACAGTCCACTTTTCAGAAAATTCCACTTTTTCCTGCATGGAGACTGGGAAGCAGTGTAAAGTAGTTTCAAGATTAAAAATAAATTAGTTTTGTTTACTAGTACCTTTTTAATATGGGAAAGACATTTTTTATTTAGAGAACAGTTAACTGCCTACTCAAAAGCGGCCATAGCAGTGACTCGTGTAAGTAACAAATAGCTCTGCTTTAGGAACCATTTACAAGAGCAAGTTCAGCATCCAGTGTCTTTGGAATCTTCATTTGGAGTATTGGAGTCCCAAGATTCCTTTTTCTTCCTCCCCCAACCAATATAAAAGAACATCACACATTTTTTTGTGGTTTTGAAGGAGCCTAAAACTCTTCTAGCTTTCATTCTGTCACCAAAACCCAAACCATAAGCTGGCTCTTTAGAAGGGCATTCCTATTCAGTAGTTTGCTATAATCCAGATTTAAGGCATCATGTGTTGAATACAGTCACAAGACAGAAGTAACTCATAAATAATCTGCTGTTTAGCAGTTAAGAATTAAGTATCTGGACAGAAGTTTAAAATAATCATCTAGTATAAGTATATTCTAAATTACCATCCGTAAGTAGAAAACTTTGCTTTTAATTTTTTCTGTTCCCCCATTTTTGTGGTGGAGAGAGTACTAAATTACATGCTGCCATGCAGCCAAAATAAAATTAAAAAAAAAATCTGTAATTCTTCGTGAAGCACCACAAGACCTGTATTTGAAGCTGGATACCACCTCCCTTTCAATGAGTTGTTTTCAATTACAGAATCACAGAATTGTAGGGGTTGGAAGGGACCTCTGTGGGTCATCTAGTCCAACCCTCC